AGGAGCCTTTGTAGTCAGTCAAAATGTTAATTAATGAATTCAATGGATAAATCAAGTCCACTGCTCTTACTTTATTTCCGTTTGGGTCTGTATCTCCTCATGAATGGGCAGTTGGGGCTGCAGGACTCCTCACATACACAAGATCACACCTCGGTACTGTGTTAATTAATCCGAGAATACTGACAGTCCCCTGCTGGTTACCCTCCCAACATCCCTAAAGTGAATTACAATCCCTGCATCACCCGTGACGTGAATCTTTTGCCTCAATTTCAACAGAGGGTTAAGAAAAGCTTTACTACTGATGTGGAACGATCCATTTCAGTTGGAGTTATATCAGAAACTACAGTTTCAACAGAGGGTTAGTAGAGTTTTACTACTGACGTAGAAAGATCTATTTCAGTTGGAGTTATATCAGAAACTACAATGGTGGCTGCGGCCGCTGCACCTTCTTCTATGCAATTACTAAAAGTGGCACAACGCATTGGTACAGCGCCTGCTTCGGATGCAGAAGGTTGTAGGGTGAATCCCAGGTACCTCCAGTTAAAGAATCTCAGGTAGCTGAACTTTGGACAGTCACTGCAATTCAGAGATGTTCCCTCTAAGCTGCGGAGTCTTGTGAGCAGAAATTCTACCTTGTGAGCTACTGGCATTAAAGTTGTGAGCGAGCGATTTGGCTACTGCATAAATCAGTTTGCTCTGGAGCCATCCTGCCTGAGCTGAGACAAAGATCTGTGAGCCGGAGACTAAAAAACTGTGATCTAGCTCACACTAGCTCAGCTTAGAGGGAACACTGCAGACCATTACCAAGCTAGACAGACGAGTGCTCTGGGTGCATGAGGTGGCCATGACAAGAAATAATTGACTTAGTTTGCATCCTTTGTGCAGGCTGCAAAATCTGGGCACAGGATTATTCCCATACCAGTCTTTTAAGCTGTGTAAGTGGGAATAGCGTCAAAGCAAGTTCAGGCTTGGACGGCAGCGAGTGGGGAGGGAAAAACAACTTGGTTTGAACAGGGAATCTCCTCAATGGGTCGCCTTATCGGCTACTGGAAAAGAGAGGCTTATCAGGTAGAAATGTCTCCGCAACAGGTGGACACGCAGTCTACTTTTCCACATTTCTCCAAGGGACTGCTGTGGTCAGGACGGCCTCTCTGTTTCCAGATCCTTCTATGTATATAAAACGCACACTCACAGGACACATCTCTGCACTTGCTCCTGTCGTTTCCCTTTTATGAGGATTCTTGGCTTGTGGGAGACAGGAGAGAGGGGGGGAAAGGGGGTGGGGTGGGGGGGAGAAAGAAAAATCTTCTAAGAAAAGCTGCTCCTTTCAAACACTCCTCAAATTTGTCCTGTTTTAGCTAAATGTAATGTTCTTTGTGAACGTTAAAGGGGAGAGCAAGAGAGAGAGAGACTCACTCCTGAGGAAGATATTCATCCATTTAAGGAAAGAGAAATCACTACAGTCAATAACAGGTCTAAATACAGTCATGGAAAGGTCCTTTCACTCGCCCCCATCAGCATGAAAATGTCACTGTGTACCAAACACACAGAGGGGAAGGGGGGGGGGAACACCCACCCAGGAATCACTCATTTTTAAGAAGGGGCCATATCATCCTGCCAATTGATGAGACAAAGAAAGCCGTGTTTCTGAATCTCTGTGGTGTTTCCCTGCTCGAAAGCAAACTTATAGTAGGAAGCACCACAAATTATTCTTGCTCTGCCATCTCTTTGAAGACAGGGGGTGGTGGGTACCAAAGGATTCTCCATTCAAGCAGTCCAAATGCTACGCCAGGATAACTGTGATTCTGCCACTTGAATATGTTATTTACAGAAATAGTATTTTCTCTGGGAACTCCATAAGCACAACATGATCAATGGCTACTAGCCACGGTGACTGAGGGGAACCTCCACATTCAGAGGCAACTAATCCTCTGGATCCCAGAGCTAGGAGGCAACATCAGGGGAAGTCCTCGGCCTCACTGCCCTGTTGTTGGCCCTCCAGAGGAACTGGTTGGCTACTGGGTGAGACGGGATGCTGGAGTACATGGACCACTGGTCTGGTCCAGCAGGGCTCTTCTGATGTTCTTATCAGGGGAAGGCCTTGGCCTCTATGCCCTGTTGTTGGCCCTCCAGGGGAACTGGTTGGCCCCTGTGTGAGACGGGATGCTGGACTAGATGGACCACTGGTCTGATTCAGCAGGGCTCTTCTGATGTTCTTATCAGAGAAAGGCCTCGGCCTCTCTGCCCTGTTGTTGGCCCTCCAGAGGAACTAGTTGTCCCATTTGAGACAGGATGCTGGACTAGATGGTCCCTCATTGGCCTGATCCACCAGGGCTCTTCTGATGTTCTTATGTTCTTAACATGAAGGTAATCAACTGACCCCACACTGCTGTTCCCCAACATCTGATATTCAAAGGTAGACTGCCACTGAGTGTAAAGGATCAACAGATTTTAAAAACTGTTCTAACTCATTCTCATCATTCTACATAATATCTGTATATGAATTGCAGTGGTCAACGGGGGGTACAAATCTTTAATCAGCCACCCCTTTGACATCCGAGATTTTACCAGGTATTCCCTAATTGTCAAGAGCATCTCCAACTTGAGTCTGGCTTTTTCCAAGCAGTCCCTTTGCATCATTTCTAATTTCTACTATGCCTTTCCTTTCCAGATTTACCAGCAACAAGATCCAGCAGCAGCTAAAGTATGTAGTGGTTCCCACCAAACAATTAAAACCAGGTGCTCTCAAGCTATACCTCTCCTTTCTAGGAAGTGCGTAAGAGTTACAAAGCATCTTTCCAGAATATTCCTAAAACTCTTAAGAGAAGCCCGGTTGGATCAGACCAAAGGGTCCATCCAGTCCAGCATCCTGTGTCCCACTGTTCCCTCTAAGCTGAGTTAGTGTGAGCTAGCTCAGTTTTTTAGCCTCCGGCTCACAGATTTTCGTCTTAGATCAGGAAGGAGGGCTCCAGAGCAAACTGATTTATGCAGTAGCCAAATCGCTCGCTCACAACTTTAATGCCAGTAGCTCACAAAGTAGAATTTTTGCTCACAAGACTCCATAGCTTAGAGGGAGCACTGCTGTGTCCTATGAAAGCCCGGTTAGTACTTGGACGGGAGACCACCAAGGAAGTCCAGGGTCGCTATGGAGGCAGGCCGTGGCAAACCACTAGGCTTGCCAAGTCCCCCCGGGGGGCAGGGAAACCCCCGCCCCAGAGGCCTGTTCCCCGCTGCGGGCGGATCGGGCCCCGGGGGGAACCCCACCCCCATGTGCACGTCACCAGGAAGTGACGTGACGACGCCGGGCACGCTGGGGGCGGGGCCACGACTATCACTCTATGGTTTTCCCTTGGACAGTCGTGGCCCCGACCCCAGCGTGCCCGGCGTCGGCACATCATTTCCTGGTGACGTGCATGCGGCGCTCACGCGCGCTCAAGCCACAAGCCAGGAGTCCCCGGCTGCGGCGATTTTTTCACTTGGCAACCCTACAAACCACCTCTGAATACCCCTTGCTTTGGAAACCCTACAAGGTCACCATATGTCAGCTACAACTTGACAGCCCTTTCCACCACCACAAATAAACAAGGAAGATCCATTTAGCTTCTGTGACAAATGCCTTTTACAGGACCCATCATCCCTCACCTTTGTGCAACACTTTTTAAAAGCATGAAAGACCCATTGAGCAACTGTGAACAACTGTGACATCCTTCGATTTGTGCAGACCTTTGTTAAACCACCTAGGCTAGTGGTGATCACCAGTGAAACTACGACTTGACAGCCCTTTCCACCACCACGAATGAACAAGGAAGATCCATTTAGCTTTTGTGACAAGTGCCTTTTACAGGACCCATCATCCCTCACATTTGTGCAACACTTTTTAAAAGCATGAAAGACCCATTGAGCAACTGTGAACAACTGTGACATCCTTCGATTTGTGCAGACCTTTGTTAAACCACCTAGGCTAGTGGTGATCACCAGTGAAGTCCTAACGTGGATTCCCCAACCTTTCTGATCCTGCAGGCACCTTTAGAATTCTGGAAATCCAAAAACAACATCCGTGACAAAAATAACGAAGAGTCAATAAAGATATGTTTGCAAAATCATTTACTGTAGTAATTCTGTCATGGATGTCGTTTTGGGATTTCCACTTCCTCCTGCGATCTCTCATTTTTGGCTTCTACCTTTAGAATTCTGACAGAACATGGTGGGCGCAGCCACAAAATGGCTGCCGCAAAATGGCTGCCACAGAAGGGGTAACCAGTCACAAAATGGCCATCGCAGCTTACCTTCAATCGCATAGTGAAGATCTTTTTGGCAGCTGCTGCCTAAGTGACATTTTTAAAGGTCTGTACAGCCAATCAAACCGTCAGTGATCAATCAGGAGCCTTGCTGGGCAGGAACCTCATGTGATCCCACCTACTTTCTCAAAACACTTGGGGGGGCACCAGAAAATGTATCAATGGGCACCACTTTGGGGGGCCCTAACCTAAAAGTTAATTATGGGTTGTTTGATATGTTGTGTCCTGTTCTACAAAACGGGTATGATGGACTTAATAAAGTCCCACAGAACTCACAACTTACTTGTAGGACCTCACCTGTTCTTCAGAAAAATATTCTGTACCACGCGGCCTCTTCTCCCAAACAAGCTGTTCCCTTGTATTTGGGGCATTTCTTTGGCAATTCGATAATGCTCGCTGCTTCCCCGGGGGCTAAAGGCAATTGTTTACATGAACACAGCCAGAAGTGCCTTTTGGGAGGAGAGAGTAAAGGGTTTGTTCAACCTCCCCCGTGTAAACTGCCCCATAAATGAAGAATATGGAACTAGAACGGTCGGAACACAGAGACTGTTTACTTTCATGGCAATTAACTTATATATATGTTTAAAAAGGCTACAGTTCTGGAATCCGTCCGACCGCTTCCCTTCATCCGCCCCTCTTTCCAACGGAGAAAAAGAGACAACCGAACGCAAAAGAAAAACCACAGTCGCAACAGCCTGGCGTTAAATAGTGGTAACTCATATTTATTACAATTATATACAATCATATTTTATATTTGAATTCTATACATGATCACATGGATGAGCACGTTTCTGCTTTCCTCTTAGTGAGAGTCGAGGAGGTTGTGAGACTTGAGACGTTGCAGGAACTGAGGCTCTTCCCTCAAGAAGTGAACAGGAATCAGACACGGCTAGTCGGATCGGCCGAGAATACGCCGCCGCAAAACGAGGGCTTCCCAAAGCCAGTGGTCTGTTGCCATTTTCTCTACCCGATAAGGCAAAAGTGAGGGGAAGTGAGCGGGCGTCACAGGGGAAAGGGACAGAGGTTCGAGAAATAGGTCTCCACCATGGAATTTTGTTAGGAGAAGAGCACTTGGTCCTTGGAAAATTGAGCCTCGTGTGGTGGGCGTTTCTCCTTTTCGTTCGACGGACCCAGAGGCCCGTCATCAGCACCGAGAACTGAGCCGACACTTCCCAGGGGCCATGGCGCAGGTCCAAACTGGGGACTGAGGGGGGAAGGGTAAGCAAATAATCATTCAATTTGGTTTCCTTTCCCCGCAGGGAAAATCATTTCGACCACAGGGTGTAGTGTAGGGTTAGCAGCTGGGGACCAGGACCCCAAATCACGGACACCTCCCGCCCCCCTTAAGGTGCAGCTGGGGCGGCATGGTTCCCCCCTCCTCTTCTCCCCCCCTTGCTAGAAAGAGAAATTTCAGAATGCCGGCAAGGGCGGGGAGGCAGACAGAGAACTGAGTTAGAGTGAGGAAAGAAGGCATGATGGGTAATAGAAAGTGGGGGCTGCGGAGCTGACCGGCCACTCATGAAGGAGACTTGGCCCCCAGAATCCTCAACGTGGGGCTCAGATCAAATCTAGTTTTCACAGAGCAAACAGCAAGTCAATCGGCTATGGAGCTCTAGATGCTTTCCTGTGTCCCCGGAACACTAGGAAAGGGGGGGTGGGTAGATACAAGGTGGTGATGGTGGGGAACGTTCACATTTCTTCGAGGCTGGGCTGTCTGACGAGGAAGGGACTGACTTGGGAATGAGGGCCGATGCAGAAAAAATGTCAACCGGGGAGAGAGGAGGGGTGGTGGGTGGTTGTGGGACCCCTCAGAAGGCAGAAGCCCGGCGTTCAGTGATGGAACGCTGGCTGGGTTAGCGACTTTGGCGGGTGGTGACGAAAGAGGGGCCTGGAATGGGTGGGAAGGGACCGGAAGCTTGGGGTGATGTGGGCTGAACGTCTTTAGCAAGGAGACCCCCCCCCACTACCCCTAACCGCGGTGCAGGCCGGGTAGCGACCGAACCCTCTATAGAACGGGGACGGGGAAAAGGGTGGCAATGCTGGGAGGTGGGCTGCTCAGGCCCAGCTTGGCTCAGTGGCCACCTGGCTCGCTAGGAGATCACAACGGTACTCGTGGTGAATCACAGGGTGGGGGTGGGGGTGGGGGAGACAGGGGAAATCACTGGGCGTTGAGGAGGCCCAGGGAATGGAGCATGACCAAGAGGCGCTGGGAGCAGCCAGGAGTCGCCATCCCAGCCGCACTAGTCAATCTCGTTCTCGTTGCTGGCCCCCTCGGGCCTCCGTAGCTTCTCCACTTGCTCGTTGATCTGGCCGTCCCCGCCTCGCCGGTCCTCCGTCTGGACGTCCAAGCACTCTTCTTCGTCCACGTGGCTGACGTCGTCGTCGTCCTCCTCGTCTTCCTCCTCCTCCTCCTCTTCCTCATTCCCTTTGTCCTCCCGCTTCTCCTCCTCCCCCTGCACCTCCATCCGCACCTGTCCCTTGACGTCGATCACCGCCTCGCCCCCTTCCTCGGTGCCCAGCAGGTGGCAGTTGACCTTCGACCCTTCGGGGCTGTGGTTCTCCTTGACGGGCGAGGAGGAGTTGGACTCGTTGCTGACCGGGGAGATGTCGCTGCTGGTGCTGTGGTTGTTGGTGACCGGGTTCGATGGGGAGGAGGGCTTAACCGGGATTTGCCAGGAGGGGATTTTGGGGGCAGAGGGTGAGGGAGGGAACTGCCTCCTGGGAGAAAGAGCAGAGAGGGAGCAGCTTTTTAAAAAGGAGGATCTCAGAGATTAGAACTCAGAACTTCAGAGGGGCTGCTGACAGAGTTTTCAAGGAGGGGGCCAGAGATTAACCCCTGCCCTCGAGAGATCAGACTAAGGTCTCCCCAGTCACTCACAAATGTTTGTGGATGCTAGATTGTGGGTGGGCAAAGTTTCCCTCCTGACAGGCTCTCCATTTCCTTTGAGGGCTCCAAATTACTCAGGCCTTATTCTCCCACTCTATTCACCGTGCCCCTCAACCTGTTCTTCAGGGAGTTTATTCCCGTTATCTGATGCCGAGGTCTCCCGGGATGATGCTCCCTGATCAAAAGTTCTTGTGGTCCATGGTGGGCCCTGGCCACAATTCGCCCACCTCTGTGCTAGAGGGTTCATCAAAAACGGGCCAGTGCTCCACCAGCGACCAGCAAGCTACTTCCTGTCCTCCCACATTCATTTTCAATGGGCACCAGCCAGACCTGTCGAACCTCATGCCTGAGATTACGTCCACATTCCCCTGTAGTAACGCACAGCAGAAGAAGATCAACAGAGACAGGCAAGCTGGCCCATCGCTGATCATTTCATCGAGGGAACCTTCTTAAGCTTGCAAGAAACTGCAGGGCTGGGCCAGTTCTCCACCTATGTGGAACTACGGGGAGGGTGCTGATGTGCTGCAGGGGTTCAGCGTGTGCCCAGGTGCTAGTGATGTGGGAGGAGGTGGCGGGCATAGCCACCCATTCATGGCTGCCTTCTGGACCTGTGGAACTGCCAGCCAGGAGGTGCAAGCGATCGTAGCCTCAGTGATGGTGCTGGAGGCATGGGTAGAGGTAATGGGCATACCTTGCCTGGGGACAACAACATTCCTCGAATGTATCCTGCCACAGGGTGGAAACCCCACTGATTTAGGGTACGGGCTGCCATTTTGAGAGCTGCCGTTCAACGATATCTCAGGCTAAAAGCACGCTCGACCCCATGGTCAGCTCAATAGGTTTGTCTATTTATTTATTTACTCATTAATTCGTTAAAACATTTCTATCCCACTTCTCCTTGTAGTTCAAGGTGGCTTACATTAATAGCTAAAAACATTTCCCACAAAACCCAAAATAAAATAGCCCCAACCCTTGCCAGAGCCGGCAGAGCCTCGGCAGTATCAGCAGCACCGCAGGAACTCGTCTCGGACACCAGCACAAGTCCAAGAGCAGGCAACAAACACGGCCTGCCTGCATCCACCCTCCCGTGCCACCGGTGGCCGGGGCGGAGGCAAGCCCGCGGCAGTGTCACCAGCACTTTCAGAAATCAGCTTGCAGGCAGGCCCTGTCAGTGTGGGTCTGGGAGGCTAGTGGCGTTTTGGCACCCTCTTGTTAGCGTGGCAGGCCACATGGCCACGTGGCTGGGGAAACTAGCCCCGCTCAACCCCCTGCAACTCCTCTTCCAACTCCAGCCTAGGGAGACCGCCGCTTTTGAAGCTCCCATCTCTTCTGCATGCAAACGAGCTAATGCCCGACATTATTCACCAGTATCGTAAAGGCTATCAGGAAATTCAATTTGGACTCTTTTCTTGGCTCGGGCATCACAGCCCCTTCCTTTTGCCGCTGAGGAGGCCGAGCCTATTTATTTATTTTAACAAATATATTTCCCAAAAGCACTTATCTCCACAGCTGCATTAAACACACAAACACCACCAGGACAATGAATTTCCTCTTAATGACAAGATGTCCACTTGTGCATGCAGGCAGAGAGCGGCTGCCCTTGTTTCGCTCACCGAGTGACTTCAGGCAGCAGCAAAGTTTTGCAAAAGAAAGAGCTTTCCTAGGTACAGAGGGTGTCGGCCGAAGGAGGCTGGGTCAGTGCCCTTTTCGTTCCCCACGCCTTTTAAGAACTGGACCCCATGATGAACAGAGGGGCTTGTAGTTCAGTGGCAGAGCAGTTGCTCAGCAAGTGAAAAGTCCCACGCTCATCCCGAACGAGGGTCTTCTAAGGAACAGTTTTAGAGGGTAACTGTGTTGGTCTGCAGAAGAAAAGCTAGATTTGAATCCAGTACCACTTTAGAGACCAACAATCCTTGCTGGTCACGAAGGCGCCACTGGACTTGAACCTAGCCATTCTAAGGAACAAACGATGAGGAAGACTTTCTCAGCCCGAGAACCGGATGAGCCACTGCCGGTCAGAGCAGACGATACTGTGCAGCGGCCTGACTCAGCATACAGCAGTTTCAGGTGTTCATAAAGGAAGTGAGCCAATGACGCTCACTAGTCCGGCACCCTGAGAGCTACCATCAGTCTGCATCGCACGGCTGGCCAGTTTCTGGTAACTAGTAGCATCCCATGTTCAGTTTCCTGACTTCCTCCCCCCCCCCTTTTAATTAAACTTTATGAAATAATTTCAGAAAGTGAGTTCTCAGTGGTTTTAGTCAAAACAGATATGAAATTCATGAAGGACACGAGAAACTGGCTAACATTTTTGGTGCTGTTCAGTGGGGGAGAAATAAAGAGCGGGGTTTAAAGGGTGCTTAACTTCGGCAGCCGCACCCCAAATATTACATGCGACATAATTTAGGGAATCACCCATCAAACTCACTACACTGGCTGGGCCCTGAACCCACCACAGACAAAGCAAGGGTCTCGTACAGAAAGCATACGGCTTTATAAGTAAAAGCAGACGAAAAAGAAAGGAACACTTCCCCTCTACCCTGAGACCAACAGACTAATGTGAACCGAACATGCCACAGGAGGCTTGGAATGTTGAGAACAGCCGAGAGTCCGTAAACGTAAAAAGGAGAGGGGAAACTGGCTTGCCTGCAGCTCGCCTAGAGAATCATAGAGTTGGAAGGTCCTCCAGGGTCATCTAGTCCAACCCCCCCTGCACAATGCAGGAAATTCACAGCTACCCCCCCTCACACTCCCCCAGTGACCCCTCCTCTATGCCCAGAAGAGGGCAAAAAACCAAAACAAAAAACCAAAACCCACACCCTCCAGGATCTCTGGCCAGACTGGCCTGCAGAAAAATGGCTTCCTGACCCCAAAGTGGCAATCCGCATTTCCCTGGGTGTATAAGAAGGGCCACAAGAACTAAGCACTGAGGCAACCCTTCCTGCCCTCCTGTTTCATGATCTGCCCAAATTCTCGTGATCTGCCCAAATGCTTCTTCCAGATTAAGGCCTGGTTCACAAGTGCAGGGAAAGGAGGCAGCAGAGACCTGAGGTGAACGCACCACTTCAAACTGATGATGGAGGATCGCATTTCAGAATGCCCCTGTACAGGGGTCATTTCCTGCAGGAGCGCACAGGAGCGGATCTCCGGCAGTAAGGAGCCCAGGGGGCGGGCACATGTAACAAGCCCCACCCCCTGCTTCCAGCAGCCCTCAGTCAGAGCAAGAAGCAGCCAGGTAAGTTGCAGAGCCCCCTCCACCGGCCCCCCAGTCCAAAACACTCCAGTGGCACCTTTAAGACCAAGTTTTATTCAGGTACAAGCTCTCCCTCCTCTGCGAGGACAGATCTGCACGCCCCCCCCCCCCAATAGCTAGCAATCCAAAACAGTCCAGTGGAGCCTGAGCGGTGGGTGGTGCCTTCTGACACACTTCCGGTGATGTTAGGGGGTGTGGCATATACAAATAAGTTATGCTAATGAGTTGTGCTAATGAGCTCCTGCACCTCTTTTTCTACGAAATGACCCCTGCTCCTTTATGTTAAAAACCGGAAAACCAGAAAGGGCAGAACCTCCCTCCCTGCTAAACAAGCTTAATATTTGTGTGGATATTTTTAATCTAGAGGAACACTCGGAGCCGAGATCCAGCATCCAGCCCGTTCTGCCACCTCCTTCTCCTGCATGTGTGAACCAGGCCTAATGTGCTGACCTTGAGCCCCCGCCCCCGTAATCTCACACGCTTCATACCGGTTTAGGAGCAGTCCTTTTAGTGAGTAGATCTCCGACTTCAGCTCGTTGATATTCTGAGACTCCAGGATCCAGTTAGTTGATGTCGTAGTCTAGTATGAAAGAAGAGGTGGTGATCAGTGGGGCGGTGGGGAGGGAGGGAAATTTAAGCGTCTCCGAGAGAAAAGATGCCCTCATCTCTAAAGACAGCAAGCGTTTTGCATTGGTCTCTCAAACAAATTATACATTGTGTGCGCGGAAATATCCCACTGACTGGCATGGGCTAAGCAGACAGAGAGTCCAATAAGGAACAGAGAGGCCTGGGTTCAAAGACCTGGTTAATCGCGCTGGAGTTCTCTCAAAGGCCAAAGGTTTTTAGACATCAAAAAGAGGCAATATATGCCGTTGGCACCTGAAATAGACCGAACCATGTCAGGTTCAAAGTTCGTTTACTTCAGCATTCAGTTTCCAACAGAGGACATACAAATGTTTCTAGGAAGACCACAAAAAGAGGCATGGAAGTTAACGGCCCTCTCCTGCTGTCTTTACCGAGCATCCTCTATTCAGAGGTACACTGCCTCTGAACCTGCAGGTTCTATCAGGTGTAACTGAGAGCCAGTTTGATGCAGTGGTTAAGTGTGAGGACTCTAATCTGGGAAAACTGGGTTTGATTCCCCACTCCTCCACTTGAAGCTGCTGGATGACCTTGGGCAAGCCATAGCTCTGTCAGAGCTGTCCTTGAAAGAGCAGTTCTCTCAGAGCTCTCTCAGCCCCGCCTACCTCACAGGGTGTCTGTTGTGAGGAGGGGAAGGGAAAGGCGTCTGTAAGCCATTCTGAGACTCTGTGAAGAGCGGGGTATAAATCCAGTCTCTTCTCTTCTTCTCTTCTCTGGCTGTAGAGTGTTGTAGAGATAGTGCCAGAGTGGTATAGTGGTTAGCGTGTCAGGTTAAGACCTGGGAGACCCGGGTTCGAATCATCTCTCTCTGGCATGGAAGCCTGCTGGGTGACCTTAGGCCAATCACATACTCTTGGCTTAAACAACCTCACAGGGTTGTTGTGAGGATAAAGAGTAGGAGAGAGGGCCACGAATTCCGCAGATTAAATTTTGCATCATGCAGAGAAGTTGTTTGTGTTGCTTGTTCCTATGTAAGAAGGTTCCAGCTTGCATTGGGGGATTTGTTGTTCAGTCGCACAGTCGAGTCTGGCTCTTCGCGACCCCATGGACCACATCACGCCAGGCCCTCCTGTCCTCCGGAGTTTGCTCAACTTCATGTTTGTTGCATCGATAATACCGTCTAACCATCTCATCCTTTGCCATCCCCTTCTTTTACTTTCAATCTTTCCCAGCATCAGGGTCTTCTCCAGTGAGGGCTCCCTTCTCATTTGGTGACCAAAGTACTTGAGCTTCAGTTTCATTATCTGGCCTTCCAGGGAACAGTCAGGGTTGATTTCTTTTAGGATTGACTGATTCGATCTCTCTGCAGTCCAAGGGACTCTCAAGAGTCTTCTCCAGCACCGTAATTAGAAAGCATCTATTCTTCGGCACTCGGCCTTCCTTATGGTCCAACTCTCGCAGCCATACATGACTACTGGGAATACCATTGCTTTGACCATGCGGACTTTTGTTGGCAGGGTGATTTCTCTACTTTTTATTATGCTGTCTAGGTTTGCCATCGCTTTCCTCCCAAAGAGCAGGCGTCTTTTAATTTCATGGCTGCAGTCACCGTCTGCAGTGCATTGGGGGGGGGGTCTGTTCTAAAAACTCTCTCTCTGATGTGTTTACTTGACATATAAAAGGAGGAGTTGTGTTGGGGATCCTTAAACACACACGCAAATGACAATTTGCCTGAAGCAGAGCAGCCTAGAATCCCCACTGCCTTTTCCTGCCGGAAGTGTGAACCGGGCTCTTTAAGCTGCTCCGCCAGGGCTCCCAGCGAATGAATGGCGGCTTGGCAGGCAGCACCTTCCCAGGCAGTGTCACAAACGGTGGCTGACAAAGTCGACACAGATGCGCCCCCCCCCCTGGAATCGTACTCCCCCCCCAGCCTTGGAGGCAGAAAGGATGTGGGAGCCACTGTTCTGGCCCTCAAAAAGCCACTGAGGCACATTAACAAGCGAGCGGCTTCCACTCGCTGGCCTGAGAAGGGGCGCCGGTTTCCAAAGCACATCTGGTGCCAGATGCTGGAGGACTTTAAGGAATAAAATCTGACATCTGGGGCTTTTTAAAACCAGCCTTCTTTTCATTTTTTAAAACTGCCGTGGAAGATCTAAGCCCAGAGACGGGCCCCCCTCCCCTTTCTTTTCATGTAATGTCGACTTTTTGTAAATTACTTAAAGCACTTCTTTTTAATTTTTTACAGCGCACCAGTAGTTTGGGAAACAGATTTGAAAAACAGAAAGCAAAAACAGGTCTTACGTCGCAGCTGAGAAAACACGAGCTTTTTTAAACCTACGGTTTACAAGTTCAGCCAAGTCTCTCTCGGTATATTATACACACGCGGTTTCGATCACACGGCGCTACCATTTTAAGAGTAGAAAGACTTTTGGAAGAAAGAAAGGACGAAAGGGGGAAGGCAGCGTGGGGAGGGGGGTCTTTTCAGAGACTCCCCGAACCGCCAAAGCACAGCATGAGCGTGCTCTTCTTTTTAAAGCAACCCATATGCTTTTGATCTTAACACGTCACATGCCCCCCCAAAACAGTTTCCTAATTTCCTGGCTGGCTCCAAGCCACCAGGGACCTTCCGGGTTAGGGGACACATGAAATGATGCAGGCCCCTGGGTATACTCCCCCGGTTGCCTGGGGACTCCTACTGCCCAAGTTGCTCAGAATGCCTATTGAGCGGGTTCACTTCGGACAGCATGATGCCCAGAAGAGAGAAAACCCCAATCGGTCCTGGTCTCTGGGGGGTGGAGATGGCTAGTAGGGTCAGGACCACAGGCCCGAGGAAGGGGAGAGTTTAAATCTTCTCCCTTGTGCCATTTATCTGGTTGGAAGGCGCCCCGTTTGCTTTAAGTTTCTTTGGCTGCGGTCAGACGCGCCCGGTGAAGCGGAGGGGAAGCAAGGCCATTTCTTCCGGAGGAATTTTGACACGCGGCTGCGAGGTCACACCTCCCGTTGTAGCTATGGGTGCAACCCGTCACTGTGTGATCAGACGCAACTGCAGGTGAGTCGGGGGGGTGTTTTTGGCTGTTGGTTTCCCACGTGCATAAATGAGGAATTGCACCTCTGCGCTGAGGGGCCCCCTATGGAGTATGCGATGATGCGCATACTTGCGAAGGGGGGGGGAAACGGCACCGAGCCTTGAGAGCGTGCTTGAGCGATCAGTGTCAGCTAAGCTGCCAAAAGTATGGTGTCGGTTTCTCTTTACTATTCCTTCCCTTGCGCTTAATTGCCTCTTCGCTGCAACGCATATCTCTCAAGGCCACTGGAGGAGTTGATGTGTCTAGTATTCGTGGGAAGCTTCTCACCTTCCCTGCTTCTGCAGCCGTTAGTTCTCAGCTAAATGCCCGCGCGCGGGAACCCGTCTAATTGGGTACTACGTGGGGGGGGGGGGTATACGAATGCCCTATATCCTATTATGTGCATAGGTAACCCACCATTACTAACAGTGTTCTTGTTACTGCATCTATGGCTTTTCAATAAAAGTAAAACATTCCTGGAAGCGTGTACTTCGTTGTTTTGCTGTGGGTCCTGACATTCAGGCAGGTGGGGCTGAGAGAGCTCTGACAGAAACGGCTCTTTTCCCAGGACAGCTGTGCCAGAACTACGGCTTGCCCAAGGTCATCGGGTATACGAATGCCCTATATCCTATTATGTGCATAGGTAACCCGCCATTCCTAACAGTGTTCATGTTACTGCATCTATGGCTTTCCAATAAAAGTAAAACCTTCCCGGAAGCGTGTACTTCGTTGTTTTGCTGTGGGTCCTGACATTCAGGCAGGTGGGGCTGAGAGAGCTCTGACAGAAACGGCTCTTTTCCCAGGACAGCTGTGCCAGAACTACGGCTTGCCCAAGGTCATCCAGCAGGCGAGAGTGGAGGAGTGGGGAATCAGCAACCTCTTCTCTGCTGTAGCTTTTCAGAGACAAATTAAACGCCTGAAGTTCCAGACGTGGAATTATGGGGTCTTCAATCTGTAGTTTTGCTCCCTAAGCGCTGCCCGGGGGGCGGGGGGGGGGGAGGAAAAGAGGACACCACTACGAACACCGGATCTCTCCTCTCCCTTTCTGTCCCCTTCCAAACTGAGGGTGCGTTCAGTGCCGCCAAGTTGATTACCACTTATGGTGACCCTACAAATCAATGCCCTCCAAAATGGCCTACTGTTAACAGCTCTGCCCGGGTCTTGCAAAATGAGGGCCTTTGTGGCCTCCTTGATTGAGCCCATCCATCTCATGTCGGGGCCTTCCTCTTCTCCTGCCACCTTAGACTTTTCTTGGAGCTACTGTCTCTCCCAGTGACTCTTGTCTTCTCCTAATGTGACCAAAGTACATTAGCCTCAGTTTAGTCATTTTCGCTTCTGGAGAGAGTTCAGGCCTGATTTCGTCCAGAACCCAAATTAACGCCTATAAAATATGGCCGCCCTTCACTTTTGCACACACGGACACACACAAAAAAAGGCTTCTACCTTTGGCAAAGCTCACATTGCCCCACCTTACAGAATAATTAGAACATAAGAGAAGCCAACGCTGGATCAGGGCAGTGGCCCATCCAGTCCAACACTCTGTGTCACACAGTGGCCAAAACCCAGGTGCCATCAGGAGGTCCACCAGCATGGCCAGAACTCCAGAAGCCCTCCCACTGTTGCCCCCCCCCCCAACACCAAGAAGACAGAGCATCCCTGCCCCAGACATAAGAGTATGAGAGAAGCCATGCTGGATCAGGCCAATGGCTCATCCAGGTTTGGGCTCCCGAAACACGTGCAGGGTTTCTGCCCAAGCCGTCTCCCTGTTCACTGCAATGTCAGGGGTGCTTGTGAACGAAGCCGCTCCCCTCCTTAGAATGAATGGGTCCGACCATACAAGAAGAGAACTCCGCTGCAGTCCTGGGCAGAGAATCAACACTTTCTCCAGTTCACAGGGAAAGATCGATGGGGCAGAAACCTGGGAAGGTCACCCCATTATCCTCCAAGATGCCTGTCTACATCCATGGCGGTGGGGCTTTCGGAAGAATTCCTTTGTGATGCAAACCAGAAAAGGTGACGTTGGACTGAATTTTGGGAGAACTATGCACTAGAAACAACCTCTTCCCGCTCTGGCCTAGGGGAACCTGGAGTGAAAACCTCCTGTGGCTTGGGGACCCTAATATAATATTTACCACCTGGATGTCATTCCATCAAACTCACACTTGGAGTTTCTTTCCTCCATGCCAGATTTCTGTTTGCACAAAATACACCCCAATTTTTAATTTTATTTATTTATTGCTTTTACAGATTTATTAAAACCTGTGCGGAAGGGATGAAGAAGAAGAAGAAGAGATTGGATTTATACCCTGCCCTTCACTTGGATCAGAGCGGCTTACAAACCCCTTTCCCTTCCCCTCCCCACAACAGACACCCTGTGAGGTAGGCGGGGCTGAGAGTGTGCCTTCAAGAACGGCTCCTGAGAGGACAGCTCTGAGAGTACTTGTGACTGACCCAAGGTCACACCAGCAGCTGCGAGCGGAGGAGTGGGGAATCAAACCCGGCTCTCCCAGATTAGAGTCCGTGCTCCTAACCACCACACCAAACTGAAGGTGAAGTGGGCGCATAAACAGCCGCTTGCCTGGCTGCGCCCCCACCCCCACGACCAGGGGTGTTTTCCAGCCGAGCAGCTAGGGAAGCTCTGAAAAGCCTTCTCCTTTCTAGGCATCACCAGACAGGCCCCTTACCAGGATTTGTTGGCTTGTGGGGCAATTTTTTTTCTGGTGGGGCTGCAATGAATAGGAAAGCCTCTTTTCCCCCCCTGCCTTAAGCAAATATGACCCCACTGAAGCCCTTCCTCTCCCTAAACCTCCAGCAAGCCTATTTCCCGCTGCAGAGATTCCAACCTGGATCTCAAAGCCGTTTGGCACACCTAAGGAATAAAGGGTTTTCACTGGGAAATCTTATGGGGCTGTCCCTTTAAGAAAGGGGGCGGAGCCCTGAACAGCCCCACTGTGGCTACGGGCCTGCCACCGGGGTTCCAAGAGAGACCCCTGAAAGGAAGTGGGCTGGTAAACGTCGGTGGTCATGGGCAAAGGTGGGAGTACCTTAGAAGTTGCCAGTTCTTGGGTGAGTTCCTGTATCTTCTGCTGCTGCTGGATGAGAAGTTCTTGGACGGAGGCTAAAGTTGCCTGGAGTTGAGTCACTGAGGGAGGGGGGGAAAGAACAGGAGACTCATTAAATCACCATTGGTGCAGATGCGCGTACATGGACCAGAACACCTTCCCCCCCCCCCTGCCCCTCCGTGATGTCAAACCGCAAGACGCTTCTCTTCCTCCCGTACCTGATTTATCGGTGGGCGTCAGCTCATTCTAACCCCTCATAATTTATCTGCGCCGTGGGTAATCTACCTGCACTGTATCTAACCTCCAGTATTTCTACTTTATCTTCCCTTTGTATAGATGTCTATAGCCCACAGTATATCCGTCCGAAACCTCTCCCTTCTAATTATATCGGTTTATGATTTGCACCGTCGCCCTGAACTTAAACAGCTTTGGTATCATTTATCTGCACGGGGGCTTCCAACGGAAGAACTCAGCACAGGAGATCTCTGCTCAGCCTGGAGAGATGGACGCGTGCCCGCTTTGAGCGGCGGGGCAAAGGGAACGCGAACCCGGCTGCGCCCTCGCTGTCTCACAGGTACGTGAACACATGCGTGGCGACAACATGACTGCACCTGGCTGGAGAGGAATCTATTTCCAGGGCTTGCGAGGCAGCGTCCCACTTCATTTATCCTTCCCCCTCTACGGATGGACATGCTAAAAGGTGCATGTATGTTCACGTACGGCTCAGCTCAGACCACACGCCAAACCATGGTTAAGGAAGGGCATAGAATCATAGATTCACACGGAGTTGGAAGGGGACAAGCAGGCCATCTAGTCCGACCCCCTGCTCAGTGCGGGATCAGCCGAGAGCATCCCTGACAGGGGTTTGTCCCGCCGCTGCTTAAAGACAGCCGGGGAGGGGGGGCTCACCACCTCTCCAGGGCAGCTGATTCCTCTGCAGCACAATTCTGACTGTAAAAAAGTTCTTCCTCATATCCAGCCGGTACCTTCCCACCCTTACTTTAAACCCATTCTTGCGCGTCCTCTCCTCTGCTGCCAACACGAACAGCTCCCTGCCCTCCTCTAAGTGACAGCCCCTCAAACGCTTAAAGAGAACCATCCTGTCCCCCCTCAACCTCCTGTTCTCCAGACTGATATTTCCCAAGTCCCTCAGCCCTACCCCGTAGGGCTTCTTGGTCTCCAGGCCCCCGATCATCCTTGTCGCTCTCCTCTGCCCCCGCTCCATTCTGTCCACATCCTTTTTGAACTGAGGTCTCCAGAACTGTACGGCCCCTTCCAATCCTGTGGTTCTATGATTCTATAACCAACAAGCAAGCACAAAAAAGTGGACGCTCCTACCAATCTCCGTGAGAACACCTTCCTCTATGGCTGTCCTCCATCATGCCTCAGAATGTCTTGTTCTCCTATCCCTGCCATTTATTAATCTGCTGTGTTCCAAATACACAACTCTGACAGAGAGTTTTTGGAAGCTCAAAACCCATGCTGAGGGTTTTGTGACATTCGGGCTGCTTCCAATAATGTACTGCACAACTGTTGCTTCGGGAGCTTCTTCTGTAGACCAATCCAGCTGCCTTCTTACCATCCTTCTCCACATCGCAAGGCCTCCCTTATCCATTGATGTACGTGTTTACTCAACTCACCCCCCAACCCCATGAAAGAAGTTCAAAAAAACCAACACAAACCATCATTAACCAGGACAAATATAATCAACAGAGCTGTCGCAAGCAACCAGCAACCAAAGCAAAATATCCTTGCATTAAAAATGGGCAGGGCTTTTTTTGTAGAAAAAGCCCAGCAGGAACGCATTAGCATAATAGGCCATACCCAATAGCAGGAATTCATTAGCATATTAGGCCACACCCATGACACCACCACTCATTAGCATATTAGGCTGCACCCACATGTTACCAGAAGTGTGGTAATCCAGCCACACCAACCTTTTGCTTCTTATCAGGGGTCATTTCGTAGAAAAAGAGCTAGGGGAACTCATTAGCATAACTCATTAGCATATGCCACACCCCCTGACATCACCAGAAGTGTGTCATAAGGCCACGTCCCCTGACATCACCGGAAGTGTGTCATAAGGCCCCAACGGTCCCGGCCGCCGGCGCCGGCCTTGCAGCTCCACTGCCGAGCCCCATGAGGGGCCCGGCGGTGGACCTGCAAGGCCAGCGGGAGTGCAAGGAAGCCCCGTGAAGGCCCTCCCTGGCCCCAGGCAGGCAGGGGTGGGGAGAGGCAGGGAGGAAGCAACTTACCCTCCCTCTTCTCCTGCCTCCTCCTGGCTGAATGAGGGCCGGAAGCGGGG